TATCAAGAGCTGAGGCCCACATTATCAAGAGCTGAGGCCCACATTATCAAGAGCTGAGGCCCACATTATCAAGAGCTGAGGCCCACATTATCAAGAGCGAGTCTCCAGCTATCAACCTCCTAACTACAGGATTCGTCCGACGCTGAAATTACTTTCAGAGTAATTTTAAGCTTATATTTTAAGTATACCATTCATATGTACTAGTGTCATTTCCAAAAGTTCAATTTCAAGTGTTGTAAAACCTTCACCAGCTTGATAATGAAAATTGTATTTTCGAAACGTCGCAATCTATTAAAATGTCATTTGGAAACCTGCTTTTTGGTCTCCCGGCACCAGCAAGAAATTTTGTTCGACTCCTTGAAAAAAATGAACAAGAAGATTATTAATAAAAAAATTAGTTTTAGATGGCAGAATTTGTTGATTTATACGCATGCGATTAATGTCCAGAGAATTTGTTGATTTAAATTATCAAAGAGTCGGGCAATTCTTCAGATGACGTTGGTAGATCGAAAGGCATATTATCAAGAAGTAGTTTTAGCTTATTAACGACGTTTCGAATGCAGCAAACATTCATTTTCAAGTTACAAGAAGCATTAAATGTTGAAATTTTAGTGGAAATAAGTACATAATATACGTAAATAGAATACTACAGGTCTCATCATCAAGCATGAGTCTTCAGCTATTAATTTACAAACTACCGGATTTGTCAGGACGTTGAAACTGTTCTCGTAATTTAAGCGTTGATTTCAATCTGTATCCATAATACCTACCTATATATGTTTGTACTAATGTCATTTCAAAATTTCAAATTTATGTGTTGCAAAACTCTTCCTATACTTGATAATGAATGAAGTTGCATTCGAAACGTCGTTAAATTATAATAAAATGTCCCATGGCAACATGATATTTGACTTTTCAGTTGCTATAAAGAGAAAATAAGAAAATTGTCAATAAGAAATACTTTCTGGTATTCAATGAAACCTGCATATATATACCTGAAGACCTTTCATAAGTAACTCCCGCTGTAGAAATTATCTGATCACAAGAATTCTTTTTTTGTTTGTTGACCGACCACATAATGAAGATCAAAGATTTACAATTTCACATAGAGTAGAAGACGTTTTGTTACCCACAGAACTGAAGCAAACTATTGCTTCGCACGTAGATGAGCTAGTAAGGTGAAGTGACTAATACTGCCTTATAAGACTCCTGTCCAGTAGGGGTGAAGTAGTCGCTTAGATTTAGTGTTAAGATAAAAGATGTAAGTTAGCACATAATGATTGGAAAGAAATTCAGTGAAGCAGTTTTTAACAAAACTGATCACAAATTTTAATGCTAACAAATGGTAGCATACCTTGTTAATGCTACTAAAATTCTGGAAAATTCTGTACCTATGTCCCCGAGTAATCCTCTGAAGGCGCTGGTCCCCTCAGGGGAGACTTCTGACGCGTGTCTGTGCGCGTCAGAAGTCTTATGGGATTTCGCGTTTCTAGGGGATTGTTCCTGAGCGCCCCACCGCTGAGCTCGCGGTGTCTGACTGTAGGTCTCAGCTGTGGGGTTAAGTTATTATGTAGGTAGGATTCCTTACCTTAAGCTATTTTGTAGGTCGGATTCCTTACATCAAGTTATTTTGTAGCTAAGATTCCTTACATCAAATTATTATGTAGGTAGGATTCCTTACATTACGTTATCATGTAGGTATGATTCCTTTCATCAAGTTATTACGTAGGTAGGATTCCTTACATTTCCCTTCTCTGTCTCTCTCGTGCGGGCGGCCGACGTCCCGTGTAAGCGACCTCTTGTTCGATTGTCTTAGTTTCTGTTGCTTTTCACCTGTCCCTGCTTGTCTCTTCGTCTCTTTGAGACGAAGAGACAAGGAGGGTCTCTTTGAGATCTCTCAAAGAGACCCTCTTTGAGATCTCCACAAAGAGGGTCTCTTTGAGATTCACGCTACTTCTTTCGAGCCAGCTTCAGCGGGCTGGACATCTGAGACCTTCCGCCCCTTGTGGGTGATGAATGATTTTTTTGTTTAAGAAACTTGCGATAACTGAGACCTTCCACCTCTTTGGTGATGTTCATCTTAACTTTCGGTGCGAGATATCTAAATAGCTGAAGCGCTAGTAAATATTTGGCCACTAAACTAACCCCCTGAAGACGCTGGACGTAGAAGCAGGAAAATAACTCGTTACTAACACGACATGTGAGGACCACTTGAAAGAGTAAGCCAAGCATTGCTGAACGCGATACGGTCCTTCTGCTCTGGACCAGTTCATCCTTTCGTACATTCCGTAATAGAAATCATTTGCTTTCAGTGAGCCATAAAACTGTTCTTAAGTTCAGGGCACAGCGCGACAGCAGCAGGAGACGCGAAATCAGATACTGCGACTACAGACAAACGAATGCTTCAATTGTAGCACTACGCTACTGAGGGAAAATGCAGTTGAAAAAATTATTGACTGCTGATGAATATTAGTACCGATGGAGAATATTGTGTGAAACATAAATGTGTAACAAATGGTAGCTTGCGATAAATAAAAGGAAAACGCACATCAGGCAGAGAAAATAAAGTATATTTATTTGAGAGCGTGTAACTGGGTGATGCCACTACGCTGCTGGTTCTAGCAGTTTGCAACCATCTCGTGTCACCTCGTCTGCACATTTTCGCGTGCTCTCCTCCAAGCGACGATGTTGCTGGAGCCCAAACAGCGTACGAACAAACCGCTCCTGCTGGCCGACAAGGCGAAGGAGCTTCCATTACAACAAAACGGCCGATGTACATACATATACAAGGCTTACAAATTCGGGTGCGTTCATTGAAACGAAAAGGAAGATGCTTAGTCGTGGACGTAGAATAGTTAGGCTTTTCATTTAAATAGTTAGGCTTTCATTTAAATGGAGAGGAAGAGTTGCTGGCGCCAATGGGAAAATAAAGGGAGGGGAGATCTTATCTGAAATGCAGATAATGTTTCTTTCAGTATACGTTATCGTAGATGAGTAAAACATTGTGCTTTCCAATTTAACGGCGATCTTTTTATTTCTTTATAAAATCTGAGAATGTCTGCAGAAGGAGAATTTATTTCAGGAATGTATGTAAATGTATGTGCGTTCAGTGACAGTCGCTGCCCCAGTTCCTGGGCGCAGAACTGGCGGCGCCTTATCACCGCTACACGTGGTGACGATAGCGCGATGTGCAGTGAGGCGGTGCGTGGTGGACGGTGCGTGATGGGCGAAGGGTGGAGGACAGCGCGTGGTTTACGACGCGTAGTGGACTGTTTGTGATGGACGATGGGAGGAGGGCACGCGAAGGACAGCGCGTGGTGGACGGTGCTTGATGGAGGACGCGTGGTGGACGACGTCTTGCGTTTGGTGTAGTCCTGACTGGAGCAAAAGTTTGGTCGAGGGAGTCATATTATTTCTGATTTAAGCGATGACTTGGTGCCCCGGCATCCCGACAGCGCCCAGTTATGCTCAGTTTATTCAATCCCTCACCCCCCAGCTCACCCCCTCCCCCTGTTCCGGCTCTCTAATGCCCCATAAAGACTGGGTGGGTGCCCGCTTTCTCCTCAGACGCGGTGTCACCGCCGCAAGAGTGGCATGTGGGTGTGCGACGCTCCGCTCTCCGGTCCTGTTGACTCGGCTGTTATCTTTACCGCAAATTCAGTTGCTTCCTGTATTTATATACAAACTTAGTTCACAGAAATCCTTTGGAACAGAATGATGTTATCATCATTATTTTGGTGGAAATGTCTATATTATCAAATTTTATGTCTTATCATAGATATATTTGTAGTAAGTTCAAATCATAAAGATGATCGTGTGCCAGCAAGTATACTAGTCGTTTACCACTACTGGCATTTTTTTTATTTTCTAGGGTAATTTATCTGGCTTATTAGGAATTTTAATACACGTAAATAAAATTGTCAATAAAATAGGCGGATGTGTATTAGAATAATAGTATAATTTTGTTTTTAATTTTCACTCTATGAAAACTCGACAATAAAGAAGACTGACAGCGAGGGCCACGACCAGCATGAAGGTCTGTACCATTACTCATACCATTACTATTATATTGTACCATTACTCATACCATTACTATTATATTGTATCATTACTCATTTCAATATTATAGGACTTGTACCATTATCTAAACCTATACTCTTATAAAGTACCGGTACAATTTCTTGTAGCATTACACGTAACTACCATCACCCGTTATAGCTGCAGAACGCAACAGACAACATGCAGGAGCGGTATGTCCACTCCTGTTCACAGCTCGCTTCAGCAACGCGACGTTTATGTCAGACTGAAGCCTCCCGTTGTCTTTTGGGTGTTGACAAATATTGCGAGGCCCAGGAAATGAGTGAGACTTTTTCAAAATAGCGATGGACTTCTGTCCTTGTATGAGCCTTCATTTTCCTAAGCAAAAGGTCGTATCGGTGCTACTTGTGGAGGGGGGACACTATTTGGTTTATATGACCCAATGATTTCCTCAGTGCGAAGTTGTGTGGGGTAGGGTGGCCCAGTGGTTGCAGTTTAGAGTACCTGTGTTGGAGCAGATAAGTGCTGGTTCAATCCCAGCTACATGCGACAGTTTCTTGCCGTAATCGGCGAGAAGGCCGGGCGCCGGTAAGCGCAGTCAAATCGGAGTAGTGAGTTGCGTGTTCGAAACCGCGACAAGCTGTGAATGATGTGCGATGTTCAGACAGGTCTAACGGCTTAATGAACGCTGTAACCACTATGATACTTAACTATACTTGACTAAACTTAACTGCCTTGAATTAATCCATGAAGTCCCAAGGTTGGAACAGGTCAATAAGTTAGGACTCAAGTGAGCAAAATTACCTAATTTTATTTTTATTCTTCACAGAAGAAGCACAGCATGCCTCAATAGAAAGAGAAAAAACATGCTATTTGGTAATAAAAGCTTCCAGGTGAAAAGCTCATACAAGCTATAAAAAATATAACTCAGTACTCACTGAAGTGAGTGACAGAGCGCATTTTCTCGTCAATGAAAACTTGAGGTCACGGATGGACGGACAGACGGACGAACGGACAGACAGACAGACGGACATGGCGAGCACAATAGTGCATTTTTTCCATAAATGAGAAAATGCGCTAATAAAATGTATAAAAAAAATTTTAAAGACCACGTTTTTCATGTGGACTAAAAAGTAGAAAATAATTTTTCGGCAGCTACTGATCTCTGTTTGCTTTCATTCTCTTGGTCTTTTGTATTTCAGTTAAAATATTTTACAACATCTAAAAACCAAGAGAATGAAAGCAAACAGAGATCAGTATATAGCTGCCGAAAAATTATTTTCTACTTTTTAGTCCACATGAAAAACGTGGTCTGCAAAATTTTTGTTTATACTTTTTATTTTCTACTGTTTAGTTTTATGTTAGTTTGTATGCTTGTGCTGATCAAATCTTGCAATCGAACGTTTTTAGCTCTGAAAATCGCCGCTTTAGGGGGAATGGCGCTGCGATCGATTAAAGGAAAACAAATTTCCACTTCGAAAATTTATTTGTTTATAATAGTGATAAATACGCCTGGAAACGTGCAACAAATTATTGATTATTGTATTGTCATCGGGAGCTGAGCTTCCCTAAAAGTTTCAGAGCGCTAGCTAATGGGAAAGTTGGTGAAATATCGATTGCAAGATTTGATCATCACAAACATACAGACAGACAGACAGACGGACACGAAAGCGAGCTAAGAAAAACGTGGTAAAAAGCTTCGCATGCGTAATGGGTGACAAGTATGAACGTAATAGTGGCAACAAGTACAACGAAAATTAATACAAATATTACATTCTAAAGTAAAGGCACTACATAAGTTAATTGTCACAAGAAAAAACTATATGATTAACAAAGTTACGTTAATACTGAGCAAGAACATGATCACGAAATTTTGTCTTTAAAATTAATTTTGAACAGTTTATACTGAAAACATCAGGCAGTTCATTAAAATGTTTTACACAATTAAAAACAGTCCCATTATGTTCAATTTCTAAACGGACCGGTTGAAGGTTGAGACGAACGCCTCTGGTATCATGAAAATGATGAGGAACAAGAGGAGCAGAAAAACTTTCAAAAAGACGCTGATCATGAAAAAGTGCCCTATCCATAAATTGTAAAAGCTTAAATTTGTACATGTCGTCGAATTTAAGGATTTTTGACTGTCTATATAATACACTAGTACGAATCAATGGTACATAGTTAACATATCGAACCCTATAAAGATTGACCGCAGTGTCATGTTCATCAACGTGATAACCTGTTTTTTTTTGTACAGATAGGCACTCCACCCCATATTACAAGGGTATTAGAAAATTTAGATAAAAACAACGAATAGAAGAGCATTTTTAACGAGGAGAAAGGTAAGGTACTTGATAGAGCATGCAACACTTTGCTAAGTCCCTGGCAAACGGAAGTAATATGTTTTTTGAAAGACATTTAACTATAAAGGATTAAGCCAAAATACCGAAAATCATCAACCCATTCTAATATTGATTCATTAAAAGTGATGTTCGGAGAGGCGACAACGGGTCTAGACGTAAAAAGCATCAGTTTCGTTTCATCTGTGTGTTCCACTAACTTATTTACTAACAGCCATCTTGACAAGTCTGCTGACAGATCCGAAATGCTATCACACGCTTCATCGTAGGTACCTTTCGAGATATAAAAAACGGCAAAAAGCTTGCATCAGCAAAAAGCTTACAGTTCACATTAAAAGAAGAGGCGAAGTCATTTCTAAAAATATTAAAAAGAACAGGCCCCAGAACAGCGTCCTGTGGTACTCCAATCGTGATTGGTCTTGAGGGCGATTTGAACTCGCTCAATGAAACATACTGTTCTCTATTGGTTAGGTAGTGACTTTTATTGGTTAGTTATGATTTTATTGGTTTGGCTGGAACAGGGCTCCTCACTTTTTTTCAGCAAGTAATGATATCAGAAGTGGACAAAAGTAGCTCAAATTTTACGTTTGAAAAGTAACTAAAGGAAGTCGCATTTGTACAAACATAAGTTCAACCGAAAAATGGGGGATTATTGGCCATTATCTGATATTGAAGGGAGGACTGCAAAGCCAAGACAAGAGGACATCTTCCGGCGATCTCGTTTCTTGAACAAAAGACAATGGAAAAGCACAGGAATCACAGATATAAAATCTATTCATCAAACCCAGATAAGATGCGGTTGTCGGTAACCTTACGATGTTGTTACGGTTCCGAGTATGCGACTGCACGACAAGCTGCGGTCACCGTAACCCGGGATAGTTGCGGTCACCGTAACCCGGGATAGTTGCGGTCACCGTAACCCGGGATAGTTGCGGTCACCGTAACCCGGGATAGTTGTGGTCACCGTAACCCGGGACAGTTGCGGTTACCGTAACTCGGGTCAGTTGCGGTCACCGTAACCCGGGACAGTTGCGGTCACCGTAACTCGGGACAGTTGCAGTCTCCGTAACTCGGGACAGTTGCGGTCACCGTAACTCGGGACAGTTGCGGTCACCGTAACCCGGGACAGTTGCGGTCACCGTAACCCGGGATAGTTGTGGTCACCGTAACCCGGGACAGTTGCGGTTACCGTAACTCGGGACAGTTGCGGTCACCGTAACCTGGGAAAATTGCGGTCACTGCAACCTGTCCTGACCGGCGAATACATTAGTGCTGGGGCCGGCAAGCCGAACCTTAGAACTGAATTAATTAATTATGATTTAATGCAAGCAGACCGCTACTCTGCACCGCGCGGCGGACTATGCAGTTATAGCTGCTCTCTATTGTCCATGTGCCTTACTGCTGCAGTCAAAGCTTGTGTCGCGAGGTCGCCTCAGTGACGTCATGCAGTGCCTGCTGTGACCGCAACCTCCGCGTACCCGGAGTATCCTCCATGTTCATGATTATTTTATGATCAGCTTCACTGTTAATTCTTCTTAAACTCGTTTTGGGTTTGCAATTCCCATTAATTATTTTGAACCTTACTTGCTCCCTTGCTGCTCACGCTCGTGTATTGTAGTCTAGATTACATAGGCTCCAGGTACTCCTGAAACCCCATAAGTTCCAGGTACTCCTGAAACCCTATAGGCTCCAGGTACTCCTGAAACTCCATAGGCACCAGGCACTTAGTGACCCCATAGGCTCCAGGTACTCCTGAAACCCCATAGGCTCCAGGCACTCTAGTGACCGCATATGCTCCAGGTACTTCAGAAACCCCATAGGCTCCAGGCACTCTAGTGACCGCATAGGCTCCAGATACTTCAGAAACCCCATAGGCTCCAGATACTCCTGAAACCCCATAGGTACCCCAGGTTCTCCAGTAACCTCAGAACCCGCAGGTACCTAAATTACTAGTTTTCCGTGTACTCCAGATTCCCTAGATTCCTTGGTTGCTCGAATTCTCTAGATATACTAACACAAATTCCCCATATACCACAGTTACTCCATACACTTCAGACCTGCTCCTCCGTGTATACTATATATTCCCTTATTCACTTCATATACTTCATATACTCACTTCATATACCGCCGATCATAAAAATATCTCGTACACTCCAGGTGCTCAAAATACATCAGTTAATTCAAACACGATGGCTGCAAAATAATAGTTCCAATAGCCCATGCAGTTATCGATATCGAACAATATCTCCCGACAGTCTAAGCACTTAATTCACTCATTCCCATCCTAAATAATCCAGAAATTCTTCCATTCAAAGGAGATTCGCTAATACATCAGATACGTAAGATACTTTTTTATTATCAGGTACTCAATCATACCCAAATACTCTATCATTACTCTGGCTAGCTTGATACTCCCCCTACCTCAATGACTCATACCCCAAGCACCCAAGACATTCCTCTTACCGCGTTCGTTCATCCCATCCATGCTCCTGTTACTTGTTCCTCCCGTTATTGCCCAAACCCATTCCCCCCCTTCGAATAGAGTCCGTTTTAGAAAAGCTCGTGGCGAAGGGAGGGCAGAAGACCACCCCTTTTCCCCACCCATTCCTTCACGTCGCCCCTTCCGCTGCCAGGACAA